GTGTGCCAGCCGTATGCTCTCAAAGTCACGGGTGGAATTAATCTGCTGCAGGAGCTGTGCAAACTGAGACTCTAGGACATCCACCTGGAAACAAGGAAGCCAGAAAAGGAAATGCCACCTTTGTCCGGGCCACGGGCATCTCGGAGGGGAAAGGGAGAGTCCAGGTGAAGGAACAGGAGCATCAGCAGTTCTGGACTGGAGCTCTAAAGGGTATCCAAAGAACCCAAGAGAAGCAACAGAGCACGAGAGACGGAGCCTGTTTCCTGCCTGCCGATCCTCCCAAAGGAAGGCGGGGCCGCCCAGCACCCTCACCTGCAAGTAATACTGCAGGTTGTCCACGAGGAAAGTCATGTGATGCCGCATCCGCCACTTGATTGCATCGGTCCGACTGGACTCCAGGCCCTTGCACTGCATCTGCAGGGCCCAGCAGTGCTGCAGCTCAGCCTGGACTCGCCGCACACTCAGCAGGTACTTGAACACAACGTTGTACCTGAAGAGGGTGCAGACCGTGGTTGAGCCAAGCCCTTGGCAAGGAGCCCTGGCAGAAAACACGGACTCTGCACAGAGCAGGGAAGCCTCTCCTCTTCCCAGGACACGCCGGGGAGGGGGGTGGTGGTGGTCCCCAGGCCTGGAAACAGACTTCAGCCAGAGCGGTTATTTCAAGCCAATGGCCAAGTGCCACGGCCGCCCAACGGGAGCCAAGGAGAAGTGCAGCACTCACTTTTCCAGGACAGCTGGAGTGAAGAGGATGTGTAGCGGCCACTGGACTTTGTAGTGGAGCCCCAGCGCAGCCCAGCCTGACGTGGGAGATTCATGGGGAGACAATTCTCGAGAGGGGGTGTCACGCGCTTGAGCAACATCTGGAACAGAAGACCCAGGGAACAGCTCTCATTTGAGGCAGGGTGCCTTCAGGTAACAGGGTGCAGCCCCAGGCAGACTGCTGGAACTGATCTGCGGGGGGTGGGGTGGGGGGAGGGAGTGGGATTTTTCTTACCATAAATTCCTGTCTTCAGGAGAGACAGGAGGGTATTCTGCATCCTCTGGGATGGCCCCCTCCGTCAGGAGGAGGGCAGAGACGGCTTATGAGAGAGGAGGACTCCTCCTCCTCCTCCTCCATGGAGAATTGTGACTCTTGTTGTCTAGACCAGGAATAACCTACAACATACTATTTTGATGATCCCTTGATGGTGTATGCGCAACAGTGTGGCAAACGAAGCCCAATGGGTGCTAAGTGTAAGCAAGGGGATGCACTCTGGGAACCCCGACTATATGCCGATGGGGTCTCAACAGGCCAGGACTGAGAAATATCTGGCCGCTGTGGTGGACAGCTCAATGCAAATGACAGCTTAGTGCTGTGTGTGGAGGCATGTCCAGGATTATTAGGAAAGAGACTGAAAGTAAGGTGATCAGTAGTGCAATATCCCTGCACAGACCTATGGCATGGCCTTATCTGGCATTGCTATGTACAGAACTGGTTGCTGTTTCTCAAAAGAAATATTGCAGAGCTTGGAAGAAGCACAGAAAAGGAACACCAAGATGATCAAGGGGTTGGGGCACCTTCCTAGGACAACAGCCTTTTCTTATTTCAGGGGGTGGGAAAAAGACTAAGGGGAGGGGGAACAGGACGGAAGTTTGTAAAACTATATCTTGGGTAGAGAGAGCAGACAGAATTTTTTCTCTTCCATAATATTGGTACTTGTGGACATCCAGTGAAATTAATGAGCAATAGGTTCAGGACAGATGACAGAAAGTAGCTTTTTTATTTTTAAAAACTCGTGATTCCCAGTGAACATAAGAATGGCCGTGAGCATAGATGGTTTGAAAAGGGGATTCGACAGATCCACGGAGAGGGGAGAGGGGAGAGGGGAGAGGGAGAGAGAGAGAGAGAGAGAGAGAGAGAGAGAGAGAGGAGGTCCACCCCCAGCTACTGGCCATGGGCAGTCAGGGGAACCTCCACAGGCAGACGCAGCAAACCTCTGAATCCCAGGGCTGGGAGGCAACAGCAGGGGAAGCCTGACCTGGTTTACCGGCCCTCCCTGGCTGCGGCTGCCATCTGTGTAAAAGCGGGATGCTGGACTCGACGGGCACAGAGCCCCCTCCTGCTTCTACCGGAGAACCACTAACAGGACTGGGCCGAATCCCTCTCATTCCGCAGCACAGCCACCCGGCGAGCAGCCCCTGCTTTACAGCCGGGGGCCAAGGCAGAGGAAGGGCCACTTGCCCCGCAACCATCCAGCTGGGGTCTGGACTCCAGCCCTGCGGACGGAGGGGGACGGCCCCTTCCCTGGCTCTGATGGATCCCACAGCGGCAGCCGAAGGTCACAAGGGCCAGGAAGACTCTCGGCGCGGCTTGTGGCAGCCAGACCCACCTCTGTGCTCCTTTCCATGGTAATGGATGGTCAGGTGAAGGAGAGGAAGGAGGTTGTCGTCGTCCAGCAATACTTTGTGGGCCGACTGCTGGAAGGCCACATTGACGTCTGCGGGACAAAGGCAGAAAAGGCCCCGTCAGCAGGCAGGAAAGCCCCCTGGGCGGCTCTCCCGGCCCTGTAAGTACCGGGTCATCCGTGGCTGAACGGAGGCATCCCACGGCATAGACAGACAGCCCAACCCCCCCCACCGGGGCCGTTTCTGACCCTCACCGTGCTCGGTCACTGCGCTGGGAGGGGTCTTCAGCATCTGCTGCGCGGTGTCAATGAAAGCCTGAAACAGCTCTCCTCTGCCCAAGAGATAAAAGTCTTTAATAATCTGAAAGGGAAGCGAGCAACACCGGAAGCGTCAAGGTCTCCCACCGAGTCTCCCTCTCCAGCCTCTTGGGGAAGGAGGGGACGTCCGAAGTCCAGGAGGGAGTCTGTATTTACCTTCAGCTGTCCTATCAGGTCTGATTCTTCTACCATCAGCTTCCATAAGTGCTGAAAAGTAAGAGAGGAGGTCCATCGGTCTCCCAAGCCAGCTGAGAGGGGAAGCCGCCTCTTCTCCCCAAGAGGAGACAGACAGACAGGCCCGTCAGAGGCTGCCTGCTGGCTCATCAAGGTCAGTGCTGTCTACGGAGACGCTCGGAGCTGGACTGGGGGCCTTCTTGCGTCCAATGCGGATGTTCCGATGTTCTGCCGATGAGCTTTTAACCCACCCTGGGGTTGCCAGCCTCCAGGTGGGTCCTGGAGACCCCTCAGAATTAATAATAAGAATATCTGGATGACTTACACCCAAGGAAAAATGGTTGCTTTGCAGGGTGGACTCTGGGGCATTATACCCCTTCCCTCCGCAAGCTCTACCCCCAAATCCCCAGCTAGTCCCCAACCTGGGAGTTGGCAAACTCACCCCACCCCCTTGCCTACCAGCACACGCTCGGTGCGCGAAGTCTTCATCTATTGCATGAGCCAGCTGTGCCCTCAGTGGCCATCTTCCCCCCAGCGGTGTTGCTGCAGGGGGGGCCTCCTGAAGGCAAAGCTCTTTCTCTCCTTTTCCCTTCATAATACCAGAACTCTGGAAGCTGAAGTTGCACTAGATCCAGAATGGATGAAAGGGAACACGTCCTTACCCCACAAGTGACTAAACAGTGGGACTCAGCCCCAGGGAGGGCCTTAAGAGGACCTTAGAGAGATTCGCGAAGGGCGGTTCCATCAACGGCGGCTAACCAAAGAGAGCCGCACGGAGTTTGGAGCCACTGGGCCTCTGGGTGCCGGTGCTCGGAGGCAACGTCAGAGGGGTCAGGCCTCAGAGTCTCTAGGCCTGGTCTGCTGGCTTCCCACGTGGCCCGCTGTGTGAAACGTGGCCCGCTGGGCCGGACGGACCCCTGGCCTGCTCCAGCGAGGCTCCTCTGCCGCCATGCTGACCTCGGCCACAGTGCTCCGGATCCAGTCAACCACCGACTCAAAGTCCACCAGGTTGAAGACCGGCTGCTGCTTCAGGCGGTGCAGCTCTGCAGCAAAGGTGTCTTCCTGGTTCTTCAAGATGGACCCTGAGGCACAAGGGAAGGGCGGGGTCTTGTCAGCAGCAGGGGGGAAGGAGGGAGACCCACACCAAACCGACTGCTCCGTCTCACCCAATGACCGGTGCCTCCCGGAGGACGCGAGGCCAGTCCTATGGAATGGGGCCCCAAGAGCAGCAGCAGCAGCAGCAGTATGGGTGGGATGCCAGAAATGGCCAGCACGGGTGGGGCCTCAGCCGGAGTCCCGCCTTTCCTCCCGAATACCTCGAGGCAACCAGCGGCGAGAGGCCACGGCCGGTGGGGTGGGGAACTCTGAGGGGGACTGAAGGGGAGAAGCTCTGAGAGAACAGCCTGAGGCCCTGGCGAGGGCAAAAACAAGACAGCTGAAAGGCTTTAGATACCCAAAGAGAATGAAAATGGGACCGGGCAAAAACAAGCACGTTGGCAGCAGATCCTGCACAGATAACTGGAAACACCCCCCCCCCAATGGAAACGGGGGGTCAGCAGCCGAGCTCTGCTGGCTTTCGGTTTTCAGCTGATCGGGCATTAACCCCAGGAGCGTTTGCTCTTCTCCCAGCTGCCTCCTAGAGCCCCTCTTACAGTACAGCCCCAAGACTGCAACGCATCTGAAAACAGAGCCTCTTTTGAGCAACAAACTCTGTGTGTGTGTGTGTGTGTGTGTGAGGGATCAAGAGGGGAGTGAGGCGGGGGAACCAGAAGTGCCGTGGCGAAGCGGGTGGCCTTTTTGGGATGCTCCTAAACCGGCTGCTCCTTGCTTGCTCTTTTAGGGCCGCCCGCTCCGCTTGATCCCCAGGAGAGGGGTTGAGTAGCAGGGGGCTCATTTTGGCCACCCCCGCACCAGGCAAATGCGGGGGTGTGACCAACTTTGCCCCGATGCTGGAGCGACGGAACGGAGCGGCCAGAGGACGAACGGGAGCTGAGTGAGTGTTGGTGTGTTCTTTGTTTTTGGGGGGGAATTTTTTGTTGTTGTTTCTTTCTGGCAAGGTTAAAAATGGATGGAAGAAATTGGCTGGTTGATATGGAGCATTATTAGAACTTGAATTAATTAAATTGAACTGGATAATAACAATGGCGACTACAGAGCGAGAGGAAGAGGAAATTGACGAAAACATGGAGGTAGGGGATTTGACTGTTGAGCAATTCCTGAGAATTTTGAGAGAAGGTATACAGAAAGGCTTCGAGGTTGCTTGTGCAAGGGGACTGGGAAAATCAGATAATTTACAAATGGAAACAGAGATAGAGGAAGAACCGAGATATTGTACCCCAAGTGCAGAAGAGAATAAGGAGGTTTATCAGATATTACATGCCAATAAAGGTAACTGGACTGGACTGGTTTATCAAACGAAGGTGTACATAGAGACTCAGCCTCTGCCTGATAAAACAGTGAAAAAGAACTTAAGAAGAACGTCTTATTCAAAGATGCAACAGTTAAAACGAAATGTGCAAAAACTCTAAGGAAGGAGAAAACTTGAAAAAAGAGAGCCAAAAGACGTGCATGGAAATTTAAAATGGAAAACAAAACACTGGAATTAGAAATGCTGAAAATTAAAGAGGGGAGGCCAGAAAAAAATTGTCCACACATTCAAAGAGAGATGTCGACATGCTGATTCAAAAAAATAAAAGGCAGATACATAGGGAAAAAATTAAGTTATATGAAAGGATAGAAATATTTGTTGTCTCTGAGATATGTTTTGCTGGAAAATGACTGTAAAGTATCTGTTAATGGGATATAGTATAGTGAATTAGATAGTATAACAGTGTTTTTAAAAAGTTTGAGATAGATTAGGTAGGAATGAATATTATCTTTTTGGTTTTGTCTTTCATATATTTAAATTTAATAGGGACCAACTGGAGATAATTAGTAAAAATGATTTGAAAACTTTATTTAAAGTGAGCAATGTTAAACGTTGAATTAAGATAGGTATAAACTGACTTTAGCAGAATGTGTAATTTGAATCTTAAATGTTTTTACTGGAAAGTATTTGTTAATGGGGTATTGTATAGACCGCCCGCAGAAAGACCACAATAATGAAGTCTCCGCTTCAGGGTGCCTGTTAGGTTAGTCACTTCCCCCATTGTATGTGTGTGTGGCCTTAGGTAGGAATTGTATCAAATGTATAATGTAAACCGCTCAGAGCCCTTAGGGGGTGAGTGGTATATAAATCGAAGGATATATATATCTATATCTACACACACACACACACACACACACACACACACACTTAAATAGCTTAACAGTGGTTAAAAATGTTTGAAAGAGACTAGGTAGGAATGAATATTATTTTCCTTTTTTTTCTTTCCTCTTGGTTTTGTTTCTCATTTATTTAAAGCCAACAGGGACTAACTGGTACTAATTAGTAGAAAAGACCTGTAAATTATATGTAAAGTGAGCAAAGTTAAACCTGGAATTAAGATAGGTATAAACTAACTTTAGCAAAATGCATAACTTGAATCTTAAAGGTAGTGGTATAGAATGAGTAGCTAGTTTTGATATCTTATACGTTTATTGTTATGTAATAATAAGCTATAGTCAAAATGATTTGAAAAGACTATTACTCCTGCTCCAAAGTGAATTGGGAAAACTGAATCTATAATCCTAAACATAATAGAATAGTAGAAAATGAAAAAAAAATGTATGGAAATAAGACATTTATAGATTCTGGGAGTAAACGGCAACGAAATTGAGACGTTGTCTTCTTTGCCTTGAGAGAATATTGTTGCTTTTGAATGGTGATTTGAAAAATCAATTTGTAATGCCAAATTCAAAATCTGTAAAACTAATCTGAACAAAATGTTAAACAAAAGGGGAAATCAAATTTGTAAGATGGTACTAGTAGCCGAGTGTGTTTAGTAGTGAAATATTCTAAATGTTTTCCATGTTAGATTGTGTTATCATACAGAAAATATTCCTAATCCATGTTTGTATGTTGGTATTATTTTATATGTTTGTATTTGTGATGATGTATGTCCATATTATCTTTAAAAACCCAATAAATATAGAAAAGAAAGGAGGGGAGTGAAGCGGACGATCGGAGGGACTAGAGAGACTAGAGACCCCTCCCCTCCTGGGCTGGAAGCAGAGTGAGGGGCTGTTAGACTGTCCTGCAGCAATCACTGGCCAGGTCGGGAACCCTTCCTGTCTCCGGAGCACCTCCACCAGGCCCTGATCTGCGGGAGAAAGCACTCACCCATGGAGGACAGCTCCTTGCACACACACACACACACACACACACACACACACACACGGAGGAGGGGGAGGGGGAGAGATGGACGGGGCCTCTTTCGTGATTTGCTGGCGCCCGGGCAACACCTGACTCTGCCAGAGTCCCCAATCTCTGCCCAGCTGCTTCCTGCTCCCACTGAGGGGCCCACCCCCAACGGCGATCACACCCTCCAATGGGAGCTCTGGCTCCACTGTGCCATCGAAGTGCAGGATTGCGGAAAAGACCCACGCTCACAAACGGGCCCCTCTGCATGAGGGGGCCAACGAGGCAACCAAGGATTCCTGCCCCAGTCCTCCGACTCGGGTCGCTCTACCTTTTTTAGTCAGGTTCACATTCTGACTCTCAAACATCTGCACGGACTCTCCCACAAAGAGGATTTTCTCAGCAACGCGCACGGGGATGTAGGAGGGCAGCATTTCTATCCGCAGGGAGAACTGCTTTGGGGAAGGGGCCAGCATGTTCTCTTCTTCAATCAGCCGCTGCCACGGCACGGGTTGGACGCGGTGCAGAGGGTGCAGAGAGAGAGAGAGAGGTGAGAATGGAAGACCCACCACGCGGAGGGCCCAAAGTCAAGCCACCTTTGCCAAAGGTCCAGGTCGGCAGCACCCTCCCCGCCAAGCAGGTTTTGTCGGGAGAGAGCAACCATGTGGCCACGGCCAAGTGGGACGATAAGAACCTCCTTCTGGGCCACAAACCGCAGCCTGCCTGCCTGCCTGCCATTTAGGGAGGGCAGGGAGGACACCCACGCGAGGGGACAGAGGACCAGGTTTCCTGGGAAGGCCTGAGAGGAGGGAGGCCGCGGTCTCACCATGTCCTGCAGCTCCCGCAGCTGTTTCCCTGTCAGGCCTCCGATGCCCAGATCCTCCTCCTCCTCTTCAGGCTGGGAAGGGACACTCCCTGAAGAAGGACCCTGCCTGATGAAGAATTCCTCGTGCTGGTCCAGGAGTAACCCGTGCAGCATCCAGGCCGAGAGCTGTTTGTACATGACAGCGTGACACATGGCCAAGACCCTGGAACAGAGGTGAACAGCGACAGCATGGAGGAAGGTTTCAGGAGATGCTGACGTTGCCCTGGCCGCCTCTCCACACTGGACGGCAGACAGGAATTCCCACGTGATCCGAGGGCTGCAGCCAGGCCAAACTAAGAGGGACAGGGACCTCCGCAGAGAGCCATCCAGGGAGAGCAAACAACGTGACAGGCAACAGCGGCACTTGCAGGAGATGATTTCGCTGAGGGGGAGATCCCTGCAGCCAGAAACCTGGCCACCCTCCCCAGCCTCCGCCTGCTCCCCGCTCAGCCTGATCTCAGCAGAAGCCGCTTACTGTTCTAGGGCGCTTCGCACAGGGGGCAGGCCACCACGGCTGTAGCAGTGGACGATCTCCAGGATCTGACAGCCATGAATCTGCAAAGGAAGCAGAGCCATAAACATCTTAGGTTCTGCCTGGTCCAATGCTGGCGGGCCCTCGGGGGGGGGGGGGGGGGGGGGGAGCTTCAGGAGGCCCTCCGGCCTCCCCCCTCCTGCCAACCTGGAAGCAGGGGAAATTATCTTAAACTCCTCGATTCCAGTAGGCTGAGAAGAGCCAGCACCATGTCAGCTACTGGCAATATTTGTGCTGCCTCAGGAAGCCAGCCAGCCAGCCCCTGCTGGTGAGGATACTTTGTGCTGCTTCTGCACAAGAGCAAAAGGTGGAAAGAAGCTGTCTCCGTTAGGAGGTGGTACCTTCTGGGCCTTGATCTGCTCCACGACCACCATCAGCGAAGGGAAAAGGAGCTGGAACTGCAAAATCAGAAGGAGGAGGAGGAGGGCTCGTTACAATGGATGTGTGTGTGGGGAGGGGGATTACCAGCCAGGGAAAGAAGCAACAGGTAGAGCCTCACCAATCCCGGCATCCCTAAACCTGGAGCACGCTGGACCAAGGGAAGGGAGGTTTTGGTGTCTGCCCCGAGAGGAGCAGAGGCACACTCCTCTGCCTGCCTGCCTGCTCCGGGATTCACCCAAGGCTCTCAGTCAGCACCGGCTCTTCTAGGTATCCAGCCGGTGCACGTGTGGAGGGGAAGGTCTCTGTCCTCCACGGAAGTCTGGAACTAGGCTGGACTTGCAAACAGGCAGAACGTATTGAGATATATGTCAGAGGGATAGAGGTAGCAAGCAGTTACTATAGATCAGTTTGATCTGTTTGTCAGACCTAGCTGTCATGCTAGTAATCATGTAATTACAGCCAGGTGTTTTCTAGCAGGTGTTGCTCTTTCAGGTCTTGTTAGAGCTAGCAATTACATCACCTTGTTAGAGATTGGCTGGGGTTTAGCATAATAGCTATCAGCTTAGTAAGCTGGAGGGGACTCAGTTCTCATAGACTAAGGCACGACATGCTGTTCAATAGCCTGTAAATATCTCTGTATATATTCACTTTTATAACTATATAAACTCTCTGGGCACCTTCATAACTGGTCAGTCTCCCGCTTCTTATTTACAACACCCAATAGGGTTATGGGCCCAGCTGTGGTAGACTGTACTGGCTGGTGGAGACTTTCTACAGAGAGTTATTGTTGAGAGTAGTGAACAGAGATAGATGAGTAAAACCGGATTGGAGAGTTTCGAGGACGGCGTTCTGAACTGGTTGACAACCCCTAACCCTAACCCAATAGAACGTACCTGGTCCAAGGAATAGTTCACATGGGAAATGGTCAGGTGAGGATCAGCCAGGAACTGCCAATAACAAAAGGAAAAGAGAATAAGCTTCCTCTCCTGGTGAAAGATACAACATTTCCAGAAACTCTGGAGCCATATTTTACCATATTTTCAAGGGGGTAACTGCCTGTAGTAGCAGAAGTGAATTTGAGTCCAGTAGAACCTTAATGACCAACAGCATTTTGAATGATATAAGCTTTCATGAGTCACCTGAACTTTGACTCAAAAGCTTACAACCTTGACATTTTTTGATGCTACCAGACTCAAATACAGTTAATTAATTAATTTATTTATTTATTATATTTGTACCCCGCCCATCCCGCGAGCGGGCTCAGGGCGGCTAACACTGTGGTTAAATTTTACTAATTAGTGTACTTGTGGAATTTAAAGTCTAAAGCAAAATTGCAAATATACCCAAGTACTCGAGAGAAAAAGCTACAAACTGCTGTACCCTATGCTAACTTTGCACACACACATCTTATGTTTTGCCATGTAAGAGTTAAGGAAAATAAAAGCTGAAATTAGACAACTAAATTTACAGTAACCAATCTGGACAAAATCACTCAAGTCACAACACATAGGACTATCAGCATATTTCGATATCAAGTTAAATTTTATAGCCCTGATAACGCTGAACTCTTTAGTCTATACCTTTATTAACTATACATTTTGAGTAAGAATAACCGTACCTTAAAAACTCATCCCCAAAATAAAAATATGTCACAAGAGTTTCTTGGTGCTCTCCTTAAGTCTCCTAGCATTTCCACTTGGGGGGAAAAATCAAGCCCTCAAAGGGAAAGAACACAAAAATATTTTTTCTGCCCCCCCCCCGGATGTTACCCATGACTCCATCAGTCTGAAAATCCTTCAGATACGTGCTGGGGTGGGAGAGCCACAGAGGCCCTCCCTCCTGCAGCAGCATGTCTGGTGCCTGACTGGACTCCATTTGAACCAGCACTTCTCCTTCAGGGGTTTTCCCTTTTTTTTGGGGGGGGGGGGAGGTCAGAGGGGCCCCACTGCTGGACCTCCTCCTGATGGCCCCTGGTGTTTTTGGCCCCTGTGTGACACAGAGTGTGGGACTGGATGGGCCATGGGCCTGATCCAGCATTGGCTTCTCTCTTGTGTTCGTATGCCAGGGCCCCGCAACTGCTTCTGCTCCCGCATAGATCTGCAGGCACACCTGGTGTGCTGTCCTGTCCTTTGAATTCCTTCCGAGGAGCATGTCCCAAGCTGCCTTCATTACCCAAGAAAAGGACCAAAGACTAAGACCTCTATTATGGCATTTGTGTTCATGGGCCACTTAATCTGATGCACAAAGCAGCTATCCTGGTGCCAAGATAAATCTTTCTATCTGAAGGCAAACAAGCTCCTCTAGAGTCGACGTATGACGTACAATTATCATTAAATGTTATCGCAATTTGCTGTTATTTTACTGGAGAACAGTAGGAGTGCCTCCTACTGGGGGTCTGGTCTGGGAAAAGGCTAAGGTTATACCTATTTTTAAAAGGGGGGGGGGAGATGATTCAGGAAAGATTTTAGAACAGGTTAAAAAGCGGGTCTGTTTGTGAACATTTGGAGAGACATGACATGATTGTTAAATCTCAGCATGGTTTTCTTAGGAGTAGATCATGCCAGACCAATCTGATTTCTTTTTTCAACAGTTACTACCTCGGTGGATCAGTGGACTGCTTTTTTCACCTGCAGATCACATCAACACCAGTGCCGAGAGGCAATGAGTCTCCTCCCCCCTCAGATGCCACTCCAGCAACTAAGGCTTGGTTGACACCGCTCGGCACCAAGTGTACCCCTTCCCCAACCCACCCACCCACCCACCTGAGGGAATGGTGAGCCCTTCATCCTCAGACTGCTGGCTCTCACTGCAACCTCACCACCAACTCGCACTGAACCCGGCACTCTGGTTGGAACTTTACCAACAGAAACGGAGGAACACGCACACCAGGGAATGAAGGCTGCTGAGGGAATATCAGCGTGGCTTCTACAAACAGAAGTCCTGCCTCATCCACCTTTTGGAATTCTCTGAGCAGGTTAGCAAGGGTGTTGATAAAGACAATCCAGTAGACACTGAATATTTGAATTTCCAAAAGGTTGTACCTCAGTAAAGCTTCACAGTTAGGGGAACAAGAGGATAAGGTCCTCTAATGGAGGAGGAGGAGGAGGAGGAGGAGGAGGAGGAGGAGGAGGAAGAGGAGGAGGAAGAGGAGGAGGAAGAGGAGGAGGAGGAAGAGGAAGAAGAAG